ACGAACCCCTGTTGCTTTGCCTCGGGCACCTCTGTGCCAGCAACAGTATGTCTTTTCATACTGTGTGTGCTCTGCAGGATACTCTGCACTCACTGATACACAATGTAATAGTGTACAAAATGTCATTTCATTTGTACATAAAATACGTATGTAAAAATGTATTTTTTAAATGAATAATGACTGGATCAAACACTGAGCTGTGGTATCTTTTATTAGGCAAAACTCCATTGAAACCAGGATGTGTTTTTTTTTCCTTCTTATTCTCCAAAGGGTGACCACCCTCTGCAGACTCTTCTTTTACAAAGGACGACAACAAACTTCAATGCTAGAAAATAAGTTTTTACAACATAATAGCTCAGAATTTAAATACACAAATGCTAGAAAATGCAAAGTTATTGCCCCATAGCAACACTATTCAACCACATTTCATATACTGTACCTATTTGGACATAAGTATGACAACATATACAGAAATACAAGACTGCCTACATGCAAAGGTTCACGTTATAATTATTAAGGAAAACGCAACTTTGTATTTCTGAATTTTTGGTGTTTATACTCTCAACCATAATATTTCATTAATGCCTTTTTATTTTCCAGTGAAGAGCTGCATTGACTATAAGGAAATAAAGAAAGAGTCTAACTCATTCATTTCAGTCCATGTTGTATGCTGTTATAAAAATATGCAACTAAGCTTACATTTTAAAAAGTTTTAAACTAAGAAAACTTTAAGTAACTTAGAAGTGATTGAAGTTATTAATATACAGAAAAATTTCTGCAGGAGTGATAGTAAAGGTTTCGCTCAATGTTTTACCTTAGGATTTCCCAAAATTCTAATAAAACTGACATGTTCGAACATACTGAAAAAGTCACAGTCCATCATTCTCATATCAGTGCATTTGACTTTTTTTTTTTTAAATGTATGGATTATACAATTACTGCCTGCCTCCATATATTATATGTAAGAGCTACAATCTGATTATATGTCCATGTTGTAATAATTTATGAAATAAAGCTAGCATGACTATAATGTTACCTCTACAATGAATATAATTTGCTGTGAATAGTCTAGGGCAGTAGTTCTCAACATTTTTGGGCTCAGGACTCATTTGTAAATCTTGATGGCCTGACCGACCCAGTACATAGCTTTAGTGCAAAAAACATCTGGTTTAGTAAATATTTGTTACCCATAAGTAAGTACTAAATAAGTCCTAGATAACCACACTCTGGACCATAGCAGTGGCTACTGCCTAGGGTGATCAGATAGTAAATGTGAAAAATTAGGATGGGGGTAGGGAGTAATAGACCACTAAGACAAAGCCCTGAATATCGGGACTGTTCCTATAAAATTGGGACATCTGGTCACCCTACTCCTGCCCCACAGGACAGACTGGGCTGGTCAATGGGGACCAGCCAGGCCAAGTTTGTGTAAGTACCATCATGACCCAATACATGGAGTTGCAGTGCCACTCATTTAAATCTAGTCCAGCCAGCCCCATCATCATGAGAGAGAGGCGGGTAGGCCAAACCCAAACAGTGGTGTGACCCCATGCACCAAGCAACACCATCCAGAGTGGGAAGCCAAGTCCAGCCAGCCCCTTCCTTGGTACTGGAGCTGCAGCTGTGGGGTAAGTACAGAGTGGGCTCTGCAACCACCCTCCTCAGGGCCTCCTACACAAACTCAGAGACAGGACCTAAACCTCCTCCTTGGGCCTCCCATGCGACCCTTTGACACATTCTGGGATCCTCGTTTTGGATTATGACCCATATTAGGTTGAGAAACTCTGGCTTAGGGGACTGCAAAACAAACCAAACTGAAACGGGTAATTGTCTTCATCTTTCCTACATCCAATGTTCCATCTTGATCCTAGTAGCCTTACATCATAATGGAGGATTGGGATGTTGGGATTCATATTGTCTTCAGGCCAAACCTCTATATTATTAAAATAAGAATAGCTGTAATTTGCCCTAATTATATACATTAGCTGAGCTGCAGGAGAGCTGCTAATGCAACCTTCAATGGGACAAAGTCCAGACAGCCCATGTCTAATGCTCTGCACCATCAGCAAATCATTCCTTCTACAAAAACTCCCAGCAATTTTGGATTCCAGTTATTATTATCCCATAGATACCACACATTTGCTTCATATATTACAGATAATAAAAAATGCTGTTCCTAGGCTCTTATAAACCTAAATTAAGAAAAAACACTAAGGTAGCATAAGGGAACAAGGGTTAAAGCAACCCTGTTTTAATGGGTTCACCAGGGCTGGTGTTAGACTTGCTGTGGCCCAGGGCCCCACCACCCAGGGCCAACGCCCAAGGGCTTTAGCTGGGGCGATGGGTCTCAGTCTTGGGCTCCCCACCCACCCAGGGGGATGGGGCTTTGGCTTTGCCTCCCCCCCGGGGCAACAGAGCTTGGGTAGGCTCGGGCTTCAGTCCCCCATCCTGAAGGGGGTTGCGGTGCAATGATGTTTGAGAACGCCTGGGTTAAAGCAACAAAATTATGGGGATGCTAAGACGCAGCATAAAAGTTCCACTTTGGGACTTTCCCCCACGTTTTCTCCCCACCCAACCAACCAACTCACCCGCCCCCACTTTGAACTGAAGATCAGGGTTTATAGGCCTCATGAAAAGTGTTTTAAGAGACTGAAGGAGTAGAGTGAAAGTATGTGAAGCTAGATCAGAAGGAAAGGGTCCCCAGCCTTAAAGGGCTGCTTAGAAGAAATTAGAGGTGAAGAGTGTTGCTAACTTGGGTCTTTACACAGACTGTTTATTTTTTCAATGTAATTTTATTTCTTGACAACACATTTTCAAGTTATTATAAAAATGAATTTCTTTTATGCACACTCACTCTCCCCCCTCCGCAAGTTAGGGATAAGTGACCCTTCGCACAATTGAAAACGTCCCATCACCAAGTGATGTTGTTTGCATGACACAACACAACTATCAGGCACAGGGCAGGAGGCAGCTTTTAGTCGGGGCACAGACGCAGACCGGCTACAGCGCGGCACTGCGCTAACTGAACCTGGGGTTTGACTGAATCGAATTAAAACTGGAGCAGTTTTTAAGGACGATCGCTACGTGGCGAGGTCACACGTCACCCTGCGCAGCGCCAGGTCAGTAAGGGGCCAGGCTGCAACCACCGGGCAGCCATCTTATCGCGCCCAGGCCTCCAGCTCCCCTCGCCTGCCCTCACATCCCCCCGAGCACTGGGGCGCGGCAGGCGCCAGGCACGGCCCGGGCGCCTGGTCGAGGTCGCGCGCCGCGCCCCAGCCCGTTCAGGACACGCGCCAGGGTCGGGGCGGCTCAAAGCTGGTGGGCCGCGGCCCTGGTGGAAGGCCGGCTAGGCCCGCAAGCCGCAATGCACGCTGGGAAACAAAGCCGCCGGAGTCCGGCTCCAGACGCGTGCCTGCGGCCGCACATGCGCCATTATCCCCGCAGCCAACATGGCGGCACAGCGCGCTGAGAGCATGCGCGCCCCTCTTTGAAATAGGGCGCTTCTCGCGCGTGCGTTCTCTGCCGCCTTCGCCGTACTGCACAGAAAGCTCAGGGCATGGGCGCTTCCCGGCTCCACCTTTCAACACGCTCCACGCATGTGCGGCCCCTTGTCACCACAACTCAAATCGCACGCGCAGTCCTAACGCGTAGGAACAGGGAGCCGTCCCGCATGCGCACTCCCTCGCTTCCTTGTTAAGTTTTTTTTTTCCATTTGACGGGGGAGGGAGAACCATCTCAGCGCCACGCGCGCCAGCCAATCACAGCTCGCTACGTTTTTCCAGCCCTCAGCGGTCCCGCCATTCACACGCCCTTTCATGGCGTTGGAGGCGGGACATGCAAATAGATTGGCTAGCAAACGAGTTCCTGGCCACCCGCCCACAAAAGCAAGAAAACGACGGCAGCGCAGAGGCCCAAAAAGCCTGGGGGGAAGCATAAGGCCGATTTCGGCCCAGTAGGTGCCCCATACACCCATAGGAGGTGCCTACAACGGTTGCAAATGACAACCTGCGGGACGGAGCCTCCCAAGAAGGCCAAACGGCCGCAGCCCGTTAGGTTTCACTTACCGCTCAGGGGGAGCCGTCCGCCTCCGCTTGTGATGATCTTGGTCACAAGTGGCGCGCCGTAGATTCGCCGTTCTGCGTCACTCTCAGAACGAGGCCGCGTAGCGCTGGGGGGGAGGGGAGGAGGAAAGAAAGAGAAAGGCCACGTGCGGTCACGTGATACGCGGCCAGACCAGGAGCCGGCGCGTGCAGGAGCTTGCAAGAGAACCCGCTGACCTCCCATCCCCAAAACTCCGCGCGGCCGTTTCGTGGTCCCTGAGATGCGCCGATGCAGGGGCTGGCCCCGAAGAGGCCTCGCGCGCACCCCCCCCCCCCGGGCCCCACGTGGGGGCGGTGGTGGAACCTGCTGGCTGCGCTTCGTGCGCCTGGTGGCAGCGGTGCCCGCGGGTGGTAGCGGGGCGCTGGGGCCTAGGGTGGCCAGACAGCCAAGTAAAAAATCGGGACGGGGGTGGGGGTTAATAGCCTATATAAGAAAAAGACCCCAAAATTGGGACCTTCCCTATAAACTCGGGACATCTGGTCACCCTACTGGGGCCCCCATTGCCCCGTGTAGGCAGCTGCGCTGAGGGGCGAGATGAGGGAGTGCTGGGCATCCCCGATCCAGCGGCTATCCCAGTTGCCTGGGCGGGGGCTGCCCTGGGAGGAGGCCGGGGCAGAGCGCGGGAGCGACGGGGATGCTGCAGGCTGGACGGGGTGCGCAGACTCGGCGCCTGAGGCCCGCTGGAGCCCCCTGCAAGTCTTCGCTCACCACCGCTCGGTTGTTTCTAGGGCAAGTGGTTAGGGGGAAATAGCAAACAGGCAAAAAAACAGACTCTGAAGTCCCAGCAGGACGGGGCTGGATGGAGGAGATGCTCCAACATTAGCATGTGCTGTCTACCTGGTCTCCACCTGAGTTGTTTTAAATCTGTGGTTCACAGCCCACTCAGCACACACCCGTGGTGCTCATGTGACATCCTCAGGCCCTTACAGGCAATATTTATATTGTGTGGATGTGGCCTACATAATAGAGAGCTGCATATGCAGCCCAAAATGGTAAATAGTTTGAGAACCAGTGGTCTAAATTACAGACTTGAAACCCTTTCTGGTAATGTTCAAATTGAAGGATAGCCAATGGTTGATCCCTTAATGCTCACAAATGTCTCTGTACTAAAATGCAGTTGCTTTTGTTTTCAAGTTGAGTATCTTGGTTGCTAGGAAAACCATATTAGGGCCTTGCAATCTGACCACACTGTTTTTGAGTCAGTAATATTTAATTGTACAGCACTTCCCCTCCCCACGGCCCTTTGGAAAGGTAGGCTAGAGTTATCATCTTGCAAAACTGAGGTGTATGGCAATTAAGTGACTTGCTATAGTTGTGGCGCTCAGGAGCAGTACTTAGGCCTATTCACTCCCATTTCTACACTGTGTCCACTGAAGGATGCCACAAGACTCACAAAAGTGTAGTACTGGAAGGGACATTGAGAGGTCCTCTAGTCCAGTACCCTGCACTCAAGGCAAAAGTATGTAATAACTAGACCATTCCTAAAAGGTGTTTGTCTAACCTATTCTTAAAAATTCCGGTGGAGAGTCCACAGTCTCCCTAGGCAATTTATTCCAGTGATTAACCATCCTGATAGGAAGTTTTTCCTAATGTCCAACCTAAACTGCCCTTGCTGCACTGTAAACTCTTTGCTTTTTGTCCTATTTTCTTTGTATCCTATTTTAAAACATATCCTAATTATTTTCCATTCTTTTCAATTTCATCACATAGGTGGAGAGCCTGCAAACCCTTTTAAAAAACATACTTAGCTTTACTCACTATTTTAGTAAATAAAGTTGGGTATGTACTTAAGGGTTTGCAGAAGCAAGGCCTAATCCAGAAGTTCTTACGCAAGCAAAACATCAACTGACTTTTTTGGGAGTTTTATGTGCTTTAAGGACTTTAGGGTTGGGCCCTAAGTTTTCTTTAATGTTCTGCAACTTGAAGAGGGAGACATTACTATTGTAGAAATGGCAATATTAACAAAAACAATATTTGCAAAGGAAGTGTGATATGTAACAAAAATCAGTTATTTTCTTATTTCTTTTTTATAAGCACGTATAAAAACTCATTTTAAACTAACTGAAGTGTACTACACAAAGTGACTATTGAATTAAATTCTAACTTTATGTAAAGAATTTTAAAACAATTCTGAAAATTAAAATATGTTCATCGGTTGTTTTAAAACCATCAGGATGTATTTGTTAAAATGTATCAAAATGAGACCTGCAGGAACTCTTAATAGAATAAATAAAAGATTATAAAAATATATTTGCTTTTATTTTTTAAAAAAGCTATTTAGAAAATACTATTATGAATTATTCTGCAATGCATATTCTTTCAAAACTGTCATTGATTTTACTGCGAATTTTGCTTACCTAAAGAATGTAAGATTACTTTTTTAAAGTCCAGAGGAAGTGCTGTATTAATAATACTGTGCAGTTTAGCCAGCAGAGGGTATACTGTGCACAAAGATAGTTTTAATATTCCCAATCCCATTTCTGTAAACCAAATGCCTGTAGCCAGAAGTTTCAAGTACATTGCTCTCAGTACACAAATGCAGTGACTCTATTAAATGTCAGTCTATTTATTTTGAAATGATACCAATGTAACTGAAAGCAGAATTTGTCCCCATATCTGTATCTACATTTCAGTTTCATTTACGGATGGCCAAAGCTTTCCTGCTCAAACAAACAAACAAAACCCAAAACTTGTTAAATATTAGAAGTATATAAAATTTTAAAATACACAAATAAATTACATTAGACGTTACTGTCAGGCAGAAAGTGGAAAGATAATTTATTGGCTAATAAAGAAGGAAATTAGCAAACTTTTAAAATGCTAAAGGTAATTATTAAAAGACATTTAGAGAAAATAGAATTTAACGTTACAATGATTCTCACTGATGGCTGGTTCAGCTCTGCTATAGCTGAGTTTGGAGAATAGAATGGAGTGGTGTAAGGTCCATTGCCCTAAAGATTTCTTCTTCACTCCTACACAACAGACAAGAGCTTTGCTATGCAGTTACATTTGCTACTCTGATGTCTGCCAACGCAAATGAAAGAAAAGGAAACCAAGCACCTTTAATGTTTAAAATTCACACTAATTTGTGCAATTTTGCTCATATGATGTTTCTGAAACAAATTCTATAAATGTAATTTCTCCAGATGTCTACAATAGTTATCATCATAAAAGTAACAGTCTGAGCCTGAACAACAGCAAACAATCCAAAATATTCCCAGAATACTTGAACTAGAAAGTGTGGTTAAATGGTTTGTGTGAACTTGGAAGCTCAGTTATAGTGTCCTGCACTGCCATGCAAGAAAATGAGGTTTAACTCAAATCCTAATCTCTTGCTTCTTCCTGTCAAAAAGGTCTGGGAGTGCTGTAGAGATGTAGTGTATTTTAACTCCTGGCATAGGAAGACTCATGCAGGACACGGATATGAACAATTCCCTGGAAATAGGCTCAATTTCCCATATTTATATATCAGTTTGTAGTGAGACCTACCCTCTTCCCAACAGAAAATTCGGAGGACTAGTTCATAGGCTTGCTAATGGTCTAAGCAACTAGTGAGAAAGTATGTCCCATGTAGCTCTAACTCAAATGAGAAGCTGCATAAAGGAAAATTTGGTCCCATACCAGCCAAATCTCAAAACTGGGTTACTGGGGAACAAAATGGCTGATGTAATTCAATGTTGATAAATGCAAAGTAATGCACATTGGAAAACATAATCCCAACTATACATATAAAATGATGGGGTCAAAATTAGCTGTTACCGCTCAAGAAAGAGATCTTGGAGTCATAGTGGATAGTTCTCTGAAAACTCAGTGTGCAGCGGCAGTCAAAAAAGCAAACAGAATATTGGGAATCATTAAGAAAGGGATAGATAATAAGACGAAAAATTATATTGCTTCTATATAAATCCATGGTATGCCCACATCTTGAATATTGCATGCAGATGTGGTTGCCCCATCTCAAAAAAGATATTGGAATTGGAAAAGGTTCAGAAAAGGGCAACAAAAATGATTATGGATATAGAATGGCTTCCATATGAGGAGAGATTAATAAGACTAACAATCCCCAGAGTCTGTGTCGGCAGGGGCTTTTTGCTCCTGGTAGGTTGAACCATGCTGGATTGGTCTGTGGGGAATGGGCCAGAGAAAACAGACACCCTGGTCCTCCAGTTTGGGGGTTTGGCACAGGGCTAACAACCCTGTCCCGTAAAAAACAAAATATGTTACGGAAACAGCGATGGGGATAGAATAGAGGTCTATAAAATCAGGATTGGTTTGGAGAAATTAAATAAGGAAGTGTTATTTACTCCTCATAACACAAGAACTAGGGGTCACCAAATGAAATTAATAGGCAGCGGGTTTAAAATAAACTAAAGGAAGTGTTTTTCCTCACAATGCAAAGTCAATTTGTGGGACTTTTTGCCAGAGGATGTTGTGGTTGTGAAGGCCAAGACTATAACAGGATTCTAAAAAGAACTAGATAAGTTCATGGAGGATAGGTCCATCAATAGCTATTAGCCAGAATGGGTAGGGATGATGTCCCTAGCCTCTGTTTGCCAAAAGCTGGGAATGGGTGATGGGGGATAAATCACTTGACGAATAGAACAGGTAATCATTCCCTCAGGAGCACCTGGCATTGGCCACTGTCAGAAGACACGCTACTTTGATGGACCTTTGATCTGACCCGGTATGGCCATTCTGTCATTCCTGTCCGAATTGTCTCACAGGCAGGTGGTTTACAAAAGAAAACTTCATGTCTGCTCAAAATTTTGGCAAATACTAGTATCAGAAATCCAGTCACTTGTCCACTTAGTAACTCACTGCTGAACTGTCCCCAATTATACCCAACATAGGATGGAAAACTGCAGGGATTCTCAAACTTCATTGCACCGTGACTTCCTTCTGACAACAAAAATTACTACACAACCCCAGGAAGGGGGACCGAAGCCTGAGCCCCACCGCCCCCGGCTAAACCCCTGGGCTTTGGCCCTGGGTGGTGGGGCTCAGGCTTCAGCCCTGGGTGGTAGGGCTCAACCTTCAGCTTCAGCCCCAGGCCTCAGCAAGTCTAACACTAGCCCTGGTGACCCCATTAAAACAGGGTCGTGACCCACTTTGGGGTCCTGACCTACTGTTTGAGAACTGCTGGATTAGAGTGCTCCTTGTGTATTTCAAATCTTGTACAATGCTTACAGTATACTGTCCTCTGGTATCCGTTCTTTGTCATGGCGGGACAGCTTGCGTGCTCTAACAATCCCCAGAGTCTGTGTCGGCAGGGGCTTTTTGCTCCTGGTAGGTTGAACCAAGCTGGATTGGTCTGTGGGGGAGAGGCCAGAGAAAACAGACACCCTGGTCCTCCAGTTCGGGGGTTTGGCACAGGGCTAACAACCCTGTCCCGTAAAAAACAAAATATGTTACAGAAACAGCGATGGAGAAATTGACCATTACTGTTTGTGATGGCCTTCAGGAGGCAATGAGCCATATGATTCCAGTGGCGAAAGCCGAAAGGAAGCCACTGGCATGAAGACTGAAGTGCTCAACACCAAGACAAAAGCCAGACTTGGTTTTCGGGACGTACAGATAATGTACAAAACAGGGAAGCTAGCTCAGGTCACAGCAGAGATGAGATGCTATAGCTTACACATCCTGGGTGTCAGCAAGAGCAGATGAATGGGATCAGGAAGATTAACAACAGCCTCGGGAGAAACTTTGCTGTATTCTGGACGCGATGATGGACAACACCATGAGGGTGTTGCCATCCTTTTGAAGAAGGGAGTGCTTTCCCATTCTTTGCTTGAATGGAAGTCCATCAACAGCAGACTTATGAGAGCCAAACTGAAAGGGAAACATAATAATATCACTGATTCAGTGCTATGCTCCAACTTTCCACATTACTTTATAGTGCAGAATGCTGGGGAATGAGAAAATATGACATGTCCAAACTGTCTTCATTCCATACAACCTGCCTCAGAAAAATCCTCCGTATCTTTTGGCCCAGAACAATCTCAAACGAAGATCTATTGACACAGTGCAGCCAAGAGGATATGAGCACCATCATTGCCAGGAAGCTTTGGAGATGGATTGGTCACGTGCTTTAGATGGAAACTGATTCCATCACCCGAGTGGCAATAAGATGGGTACCTGAAGGCAAGTGAAAACAACATGGCGAAAAGCTGTGGAAGCCGAGCTGAAAAACTTGGGGCACAGCTGGGGAAGTATTGAAAGCCTTGCCAGAAACAGACAGGAGTGGAAGAGCTTCGTCACTGCCCTAAACAGAAAACAGAGCCGACAGTATAATTTCACTGTACACAACATAGGAGTTCTTCAGATATACTCACATACTGTCTCACATGGAAATAAATGATAATAAGAAACAAATTTTTAACAGTAAAGACAATCTTTGTACAAACTTACCAAGGAATGTGTGATAGATTTTTCCATCACTTTTAATCAAGATTGAATGCTTTTCTAAAAGCTATGCTGAAGTTCAACAATGTGATTGGGCTTGTTGCAGGAATTACTATGTCCTGTGTTATACAGAAGGTCAGACGAGATGATCACTATCGTCCCTTCTGGCCTGAAAATCTATGAATCTTCATGCACACAATGTCATGACTCAAGTAGTCAGATAAATATATTGACGGCTTTGGCTTTAATTTTGATTGCTATTTAAGCTTGAATCATTAGCTATCATGTCACACAAAATAACTAAGGACCAAGAGAAAATCAAAAATGCCTAAATGACTTAGGAGCCTTGGCCCACATTTTTAAAAGTATTTAGACATTGCTCTGCTCAGTGTTGCAAGGCCAAAGTGACTTAGATGTCTAAGTCCTATTTTCAAAAATGACTTAGCACTATAAATCTCATTGAAAGTCAAGAAAATTAGAATTAGGCTCCTAAATCACTTAGGACCAGATGTTTAAAGGTATTTGGGCATCTAAAGACACCTATCTGCAGCTATAGGTACCTAAAAAGCAACAAAGAGTCCTGTGGCACCTTATAGACTAACAGATGTATTGGAGCATTTTGTAAGTACCTTTTGAAAAATTTACCCTAAGAACTTGATCCAAAGCCCTCTGAAGTCAATGGAAAGACTTACTTATTTCAGCTGGCTTTGGCTCACGCCCTATCCTGTGAAAATGTATACACGTTTAACTGAAACCATTGGTACTACTCACGTGAATACAATTATTCAAGTAATGTGTTTGCAGAACTGAGCTCTAAATTATACCCTTGGTTATAGTCATGGAACTCCTAGGGAAGGTAATGGGAGTCACACACACACACACACACACACACACACACACACACACACACACACACACACAC